CATTAATTAATCACTCAATGTTGACGCGTAACTACACCAGTGGATTTAGCACGACATGAAAGAAAATTAAGTCGAATGCGGACAGGCTTTTAACCAACACGAATGCCGATATTTTAAAAAAAAAATGAAAAAACAAGATGTTGAAAAGTTTTCGGGTTTTTCCGCTTCCTAAAACCTGAAAAATAAACAAATTATGTTTTGTGAGATGCTGATGATGTTCTTCTAAGCTGGGGAAAATACAATTCACAAGCAGGATAGAACCACCTGTGCGGATAGTAAGTGCACAATAAACATTTTTTTTTTTTTTAAGTTTTTAAATTTTCATTAAAAATAAAGCTTTGCTATTTCTAGAACCATATTGCAAAAAAAAATCTATTCAAAACATAGAAAAAGGGAGAAAACATGGAAATAATATGTTCAAATGTGAACCTCAATTCATCGAAAATCTACTCGATATATCACACCATGTACTACCACAGGCATTTGCATAGCTACATTTCCTGCTGTTCTGATGTAAATATCTAGTCATTAACGCAGCGTAAACTGACCGAGGATTCTAGAATTACGGTCTGTATTCCAACTGAAGAAAAACATATGTCATCAATTCCTTACTTCTATATAAACATTTGGAAATTTAGCTAGAATTTATTATTATTGGAAAATAATTTCTGAAAGACACAATCCCATTAATAATAATAATAAATCTATCATATATTAAATAATTTCTTGTATATTTGTGCAGCGTGCTCATAAACTTGTGTTTAAAAAAATCTGAGTAATTATCAGACGCAGGTAGGATTGTTATTTTCATTGTCCTGAAAGTCGCCCTGCTATTTTGAGGCAGCCTAATTTAACAAAGATTCGACAATGAATACGGCCTTCTTTGACACAGGGCCGATAATGGATGCTTCATATTTTGACACAGGGTCGACAATGATACGACCTAATTTGACACGAAGTCAACAATGGATGCGGCCCAATTTAACATAAGGTCGAGAATAAATGTGGCCTATTTTGGCAAAGGGTTAACAATGAATGCAACCAATTTAACTCAGGATGGACAATGAATGTGGCCCACTTTAACACAATTTCGACAAAAACCTGGCCTACTTTGACAAATGGTCGACAATGGATGCGTCCTTTTTTTCACAAAGGGTCGATAATGAATGGAACCAACTTTGACACAGGGTCGACAATTAATGGAATCAACTTTGACACAGGGTCGACAATGAATGTGACTCACGAAAAACGATGTCTACTTTGATAAAGCGTCGACAATAAATGTAGCCGACTTTGACAAAAGGTCGACCATGTATGCATGCCTCTAAGTGTTCACTTCTATGTTCACTTTTATATTTACACACGCTCTATCTCTGATATTGAGCACTTTATCGAATAAATATAGCAAACCTTAAGACTATATATATATATATATATATATATAATATATATATATATATATATATATATATATATATATATATATATATATATACAAAAAAATTCTCAGGAGGAAATAATCCAGATAGAACTCAATGTCCAGGACAGAGTAATAATATAATATAAAAGGTCAAACACTAATATTCCATGGTTATAATTTATTACATTGGAATCGTAATCACGATCCAATTCATCAGACCTACAAATATATTATATAGATATATTATATATATTATACATAATATATAATATTTGTATATTATAATATATTTTATATATATATATATATATATATATATATATTATACATATAATATATATATTATATATATATATGTGTTATTATATGTGCATTATATATATATATATATATATATATATATAAAAAAAATTTTTAGATATATTTTTTTTCATATGTATGTATATTTTCCACTAATATTATCAATATCTATATATATATATATATATATATATATATACCATGTGTAAGAGCAAAATTGTCCAATTGTTACATTAAGATTTATATCTTAGAAATGATTAGAGATATCTTACTGGAATTTTACGAGGTTTTCGTAGCACTATTGAACTCTATTTCAAACAATAAGAATGTATTTGCACATTTATAGCGGATTGAATTCCGTCATTGTGTTCTTTTTCTCACAGACCGTGCCCAATTGTCCCTACTATAACAGCTGGCCCGGCCTCGATCCTGGGTCCTTCCCACGCTGATCAGTACTAACACAGGTTAATTAATAGTTATCTACTTTTCGCCATCTTTTCCATCTGATTCTGTCCAACGTTGTGTTCCTCGATCACAGAGCAGTGAAGATTGAATTTCCTTCAAGTCGAACCGCGGCGAAAGCGTGCTACAAAAAGACAAAGATCGTCTCCACTGGCGAAAATATGAATGAAATAACAAAATACCGAAGAAAAATGAAATAAAAAAGTAACTTTACTATCGTGACACTTTGTCTTTTCCTTCTCAAGCTTTTGATCAGGTTCACGAAAAACAAAAATGTCTGGAATTATCTTGGCAGCAGGTCACGTGGCTTCTTCCTCC